GTACACAACACTACAGTAACTACAATACACTACACTAATTACACTACACCACAACTACAACTGCAACTGCAACTACACTACACTAATTACACACAATACCACTACTACTTACAACTACAACTCCACCACACTACACTACAACTACACTTACAACCACAACTACAACTACTGCGCTACAACATTACTACAATTACTACAATTAAGACGATTACAACTTCAACTACACTACAACTACGACTACAACTACAACCACAACTACAACATTACAACTTCAACAACATCAACACCACTACAACTACAACTACAACTACAACCACAACTACAACTACAACTACAATAAATTACACAACACTACACTACACTGATTACATCGCATTACACTACAACTACAGTTGCAGCTGCAACTGCAACTACAACTACCACTACATTACATTACGCTACACTACACTACACATACTACACGACACGACACTGCACTACACTAATTACACTGCACTACACTACAACTACAACTACACTACCTCACACTGGACTACACTACACAACACGACATTACACTGCACTACACTACACTAGTTACACCACACCACGACTACAACTTCAACTGCACTTGCCAATAAATGAATTACACTACATTACAGCCCCAATTCACTACACTACACTACAACTACAGCTACAACTGCAACTACAACTGCACTACACCCCACTACATCCAGCAGTTGTGGTAAGGTGACCACTGCAACCATTGCAACCATTCCATTAAACACAACTCCAACCACCTGTCGGTCCAGCAGTGGATTCGCTCTGCCATCCGTGATTCACAACAACCAACCTTTCCTATAGATTTCCTATTTTTGAAACTTCCGCTACCGCCTTGTGCGGTACTACTGGTAATCTAGATATTCCCTTACACCAAGTCTGCCAAGACTCGTATTTGACACGCAGTATTCCCATGGCTTGAAGATAGCTCCGACACGGCATTGTCCGGGTAATCAACCATGCCATATAGTTTTTCCTCGATGTTCCCCTATCTTCGGGTCTAGTAACCCCCAAACAGATATTTCACACGATGAAACAGAACATATTGAACATGTTTCACACAACTACCAGTACTTTAGAATATTCAAACAGTACTGGATAATACAAATTATATATCAGATTACATAATACAATACAGTAATACTATACAAATGTGGATGGGTCGAAACCTTACCACATAATTCAACATCATTCAGCCTTTGTTTTCCCCGCCTCCGCTGGCGCCTCTGCCATCGAGGCGGAAGCCGTGGCGGAAGCGGCTTCCGCGGAAGCCACGGGGTCCACGGCCAGCTGCGCCTTGGCACGCAGCCAGCCCTGCAGGGTGCCACTTTCCCGTTGGAACTGAAGGAAGTCGCTACGCACCTTGGAAAAAGGGCTGGGAAATGCTTGGAAAATGACCTGGAAACCAGCTGGAAATGGCGAAATCACCTGGAAACGACCTGGAAATGACTTGGACATGGCGAAATGAAATGAACAATAGGGGCAGCCCAAAAGACTCACGTCGTGTTCTCACGTCATGTTGGGGTAGTCTTGCAGAATTCAGGAAACTCTGTATCCATGAAGCCATGAAGTCACAAGTCATGCCTGAATCATTTTCCCGATAGAACGCTGCCATCAAACTCAATCGGGCAGTGTGTGTGAGCCATCCAAAACGATCAAAACAATATGGAACGCTAGTGGTGGAAACTCAGTTTCTGTGGATGGTTTAAGGGAAAATATACAGAACACACTAGTTTTTACATTTTTTTACATGTGTTTACCATCAAACATCGGAGGTTCCTGTGATGTCGTCAATGTGTGCAACAAGCCATGGCGGCTTCATCGGTTTTCTATAACGGTGAGCCATCTCTTAAGCGACTAGCTGAATTGGCTTCCTCCTCTGTTGGTTCAAACAGCGGAAAAGCATGGGAAAAGCTTCCGCACTCCGTGTGTCAAAAAATATCTTGCTTCAACTTGCGTATCAACACTGCCTTCCCTCAAGCCTATACCCATTTTGGACATAATGTCAATTTGCAGCCAGGCTGTGGCCCTTTCTGAAAGCCGATATAATGATTTAAAAATATAGTTGTAACTATCTGAAAATTGTCACTTTGAGAATTTCTTCCAACATCCATAAACATCCATAAAGTCCAGGCATATCCAGGCTGTACCCCAAATTTTCAAAGGCCGAGCCCTTGACCCCCCGCCCCGCCTGGTCCGGGTAGTCCGACACCTGCGCCATGGCATCTTTGTAGAGGCCCTCCACCACCGACGTCGACGTCGAGGCCGCCTTGGAGGCCGCGGCAGCGAAGCGCGCGGCAGCGATAAAGGCGCTCCAGGCGTTGTAGAAGGCGCCCCAGTGCTCCATCAACTGTCGTCCTCAGTTGGGGCACAGGTATATATATACACACACATGATTCACCAATGAGTATGTTGTGGATTGACCACAAAGGTAGGGAACTGAAAGGATCCAACAGAATTCCAATGTCAGAAGTTGTTCTGAAGTAGTTGACTACCCTGATCACAGTGATATAGAAAGGTCCCCTGAACCAACAACCAATAGGATTCTTCCAATAATGGCCACGCCTATGGCTCGAACACCAATCCGCCCCAAGCGCCGCAAGTGGTTTTTTCCTGGACCACACCTGCTGCAGCAAACCCCTCGCTTGGCCTTTAAAGTGGCCACCGGAACAGGGTTGCAAACCCACTGGATTGAATGTCGGACATGAGGCATGTAGACAAGACCCCCTTGGCAGCTGGCATATGGATATGCAGGAAATTGGAAATTCACACTCCCAAAATTTCTTTTTTATTCAAAGATTTAAACGTAAACAAACAAAACTTACCTAAGTGGATCGGTTGTAGGCTTCGGCGTTTGACGATCTTTGGCAACTGCATTGGACAGCCAGGTTTTGAAGGCTTTCCGGTCGGCTCTTTGCTTTAAGGTTTCATCCATGTCATGAAGGCAGCATCTGCGATGTTGAAGAAATTCACGAATTCGAAAACAGTCCATGACCTTGGTAAGTGCATCTGACAGCTGGGCCGCACTGTGGACCCAGTAGGGCTTGATTCCAGAGTTCAAGTGACTTTTGATAACAAGTGCTTCAATGAGTGTACGATGTTCTTGGCATTGGGGAGTGGTATTCTTTGTTATTGCATCGAATAAGGATTTACAATCAACAACGGCAATGCTGGGATGTGTCTCGTGCCATACTTTCTCAGGAGTCTGCCAAGGAATGTTAGGATTTTTGATCCATTCCCAGGAGAGTCGCAACCAATTGGTGAGATCCACAGAGGAAGACAGAGCATAGGTCTCTGCGGCTAACGTACTCGCAACTACACGGTCTATCTTCTCGGAAAACCAGCAAAGTGGGCTTGCTCTTGCACTTTTTGAAGAAAAACATCCTGATGAACTGCTAAAAACAATCCTCCCTTCTGACTATGTTGCTTTTCACGTGTAGCAAACGAGGCATCCGAATATGAGACAAAACGTACATCATCAACATCAATACTGGAAATTGAAATAGTAACAGTTGCATAGTGTTTGGCATCGCCCAAAAGTCTGTTGGCATCCAGTAGATCTCTTATCGTGGCGCAGTTGATCCGAGATTGCAAGAAACTGAGTCGAGCTGATAAGTCTGGTCTGGTGTTTGTGGCGGCATATTGCAAGGATCCAATGATACCTCGCAGGCTTTGACGTTCCCCTTCGGTTACTTCCATGTGTTCATGTTTTCGGCGTGTCCTCTCAATATGAATGGGATCGATGGCGAGGACATAATCCGTTTGATTCAAGTGAATATTGTAGTTTTCATCTTGGTTGATGTGTATTCCCGTGAAGGTGAAGTCCTGTCGTCGTTTGGAGCCAAATGGAAATTTGTTTTCAAGTTGATTCAAAGTACGTTCAAACGTTTCATCCCCACAGCATAGTCCATCATCGACATGCATTCCGATAAGACCATGAACTTGTCCCTGTTTTCCCACCAGGCAAAATAGGCAAGGATCCAAAGGGCTGATCTGAAATTGCAATTCCAGGAGGCTTTCTTTTAGTTCAACATACCATAGGTACGGCGCGTTGACAAGACCATAAGCAGATTTCAGTAATTCGCATGTTTCTGTTTCTTTCATGTTCAGTTTCGCACGAAGTTCTGGTGGAGGCTCAACACCCAGTATCCTGTTATCTCGCCGGGAGCCCCTCAAAAACGCGGTCTTGACATCAAAGCTCTGAATGACCCAACGTCGTGCCGCACAGTATTGCAGAAGAAGAGCTCGTGATTCTTTCTGTAGTGTTGGTGAATCCCTGGGAATGTCAGTGAGGTCAGGGTCCATGTACCCTAGAATCACGAGTCTAGCTTTTGCTTTGCGGCTTTTCCCTTCTTTTGCTGCATCGATTGGATCGAGATCTTTCCAGGTTAGCACCCATCTGCACTTCAAAATATTGTCTTCAGGAATTTTGTGTCGCAGGATTTTTCGAACTGTTTCAGTGGCTAGCCATTGGTCAATCTCTTTGTTCTTTGCAGCTTGGAACTCGGCAAGTTGGCTCGGGGAAAGGTCTTTGAGCTTTACTTCCGCTCTCTGCCTCTTGGCTGCTGAAGCGGCAAGCAACGGAAAGGCATCAGGTTCATTTCCTATGGTTTCCAAATCCCCAGCTGTGAGGAAAATTTCACATTCGAGAGCTTGATCGTCTTGAACATGAAGAACATCTTGAAAAGGTTCAGTAGGTTTCCCACCATTCATCATGATTGTAAAAACTGTGATGCCTGTCCAAGGCTCCTGAGTAGTGCAGTGATCATCATCTTTGTTTGAACCCCAGCTATCTGTTTTGGACCAAATACCCCCATGTGCATGGTTTCCAGTGGTACATCTAGTCTCCATCACGTTCAGGATGTCTACTGGGCAATCAGCGCAGCTGCTGGGATCAAAGTCGGTCCAGCGCGGTCGATTGTGGATACGGAGAAGTTTGTCACCCTGACACATCCAGACATCTTCAACAACAAAATCATCATCATCACTCGGAACAGGGACTTCATGAGGAGCTGCTGGAATGGGTTCTTCACCTAGATCATCAGAAATTCTATCGTTGATCGGTGTAGTTGGAGTATATCCACTGCTGGCTTGGGATGCTGGTGGCATATTTGGTTCGGAATCAGGCTGTTCCATATTATCACCTTCCGAGGATATTGTCGGAGGCTCTGGAGGTAATGCCACAGTTGGGGCACTTTCTGATTCTTCTGTCTCAGGAAAATTTGAGGGACCTGCCTGTTGAGTAAGGTCTTCATATTGAAAAACTACCCTACCATGATCTTTGTCAGGAAAGTCCATTCGGGAGGTGGATAATTGTTCCATGCTTTGTTGGGCTTCATGCAAGGACAAACTTCGAATGTGTTCAGGGGCTACTCTGTATACCCGGCTGGAAAAAGATATCCAGACTACATGGTCAGATTCTTGGATGATGACCCTGGCCGGCCCATGCCATTGGCCACGATATTCACCCTTTCCTGGACGCCAGAACATGACAAAGGATCCACCTAGATGTCGACCTCGGTGAGGTCTTTGCCTCCGGAGAAATGCTCTGCGTAGCTTCTCGCTGTTGTCAGCTTGTGCAAAAGCCCTGCGAGCACATTCACGATATTCAAGGTGTTTCCTAAAGGCTAGTCCCTCAGGAGTGTCTGATTCATAGAGAAAATGTGATGCTTTTGGCACGTCTTCGCACACGCTTCCAGGTAGGCATTGACTCTTCCCAAGTACTAAGATTTCTGGGGTGTATCCTTTGGACCGGGCTAGAGAGTGCTTTGCATTGCAACACTGTTGGAGGGCTTTCCGAAACTCATCATTGGTGGATATGGTTTGGTCCACATCAAATCGCTCTAACATGTGTTGGAGGATATCACCATGACGTTCTGGGCATGTTTGGTGAATTCATCAGAGCATAGGGCTGATTCGTTGTCCACAACCAGTTGTTTGCATGGACCTGCCCATTTGAACCAACATTCTTGAATTGTCTCAAACAACGTTGAAGCGTCTGTCTGGAAAACCATGGAGGCCAGTTGAAAATTGGTCGCCATGTCGATCAGATGTACAAATTGAAACACTTTCCCATTTCGGGAGGTCCATGAATATCAAGTCGCATCCAACACAGTCATTGAACTCTCGGGGCTCCGACAAGGACGCCGGTCGAGAGATTCTTGGGGCTTGTGTCTCGACACAGGTGCTGCATTTGAAGTCCCCGGCACCCTGAACAATCTCATCAGCAAATCCTTGTTGTTGCAAGACATTTTGAAGTTTATTGATGCTTGGGTGTCCAAGGTTATGGTGAATCTTGGAAAGCCACTGTCGGGTTTTGATGGGTAAAGCTAAAAATCGTGGGCCATGTTGGATTATTGAATCTTGTAGTTGGTCAAGTGTGCTGGAAGGCGGATTGACTGAATCTTCTGGTTGACTGTCCATGGGCAAAACTTCTTCTGGCACTTCTTGCTGTGGTTCATGCGCATTCTTTGAAAGAGGCTCCATTGGATCTCCCTCTGAGGTCAAACGCATTTTCTTGGTCGGTAATTCTAAAACACCTGGTGGGACTTCCCTTTTGTCATTGGCACTAGGTCGGGCAAAAACTGTGATCATTAATCTGGCAGCGGGAGCTTTAGCACAGATCTTTCGAACACTGAGATGTTCCCAGGGTTGCCATGTTCCTGTGTTGAATGGCTCAAGGCCCTGTCTTAGGAGCCCAAACGTCAGTCTAAGGGGAGCCTCATGTGGCATCAATCGAATGGGAGACTGTCGGAAACGGTCCGCCCCTTTGCAAATCTCAAGCACTCGGATCACATGATTTGGGCAGGCTTCCTGAATACGATCAAACAAAGGACCCTTTTCCAAAACAAGAGTGCCAACTCTGGGAGCAATCTCTTTGGCATCAGCAAGAGTAGTAGGGTCCTGAAAAAACTGTGAATCATCGGATTTCATGGAAGGCTTCTGCTCATGTTGTGGTCCTGACAAAATCTGTACGGCTGCTGGAGGATATCCCGGAGGGTCCGAGACCTTGCCACTCAAACGACGTCGCTTGGCTTCTGGCTCAGACTGTTCGTCTAGTGTACCAAAAACAGGTATACTTTGGGCTACAGATTTTTCATGGATTTGGAGGCTGGCTTTAATGGTTCGGGCAATTCGGATGCAAAAGGTTCTAGTGTACAGTTCTGAGAACTCTGACACATTTCTTCGGGATCCGTCTTTCAAAACAAAGGATCCAGCGACCTGATCATGCTCATGTTGATGATTGCATCTAAGGGTTTCCACATATCTGGCCAGGATGTTTGATGTGGTAAGGATTTGAGTACCCTTCTGAAGCAGCTTGGAACTGATTGGATGGGCCAATTTGCCAGCGGTGCACATGTCACAGCGGACCCGAAGGGATGCATCTATGACCATCTGCAAACATTCTTGGAACAACATGTCGGATCCTACCGGCTGTTCAAGATGAAAATGGTACTCTGGTCCGCAGGACTGTTGCCATTGGAACACGGCAACACAAAGCAACAGATGAACTAAGTCATCCTCGCGGGCTTGCATCACTCGTTGAGCTGCCTCTTGGGATCTACTGGCATTGAATTGATTCCACCTGCACCAAGCCTTACAACGAGGAGACATCCATATGTGTTTTGGTTGAAATGTGATGATGGCATGATACAGCTTTTGGCGACCCTCAAACGTTCCTAGATCCCCTTCCCGAAGTCCGAACCTGATTGATCGCAGTCCTTGCTGTTGGCGTGGTCGAGTAAGTTCGCTTTCAGAAGAACAGTAGATCTCAAGAACATCTAACTTGGATGGGGGACGTCGAACTGACGAGCCATGTCGTGCTGCGTACTGTTTCAGCTCATCATAAACCCAATTGGATATCTGATCCTCTTGTTTCAGCTTAGTACTTTTTCCAAGACCATGTTGTTCCATGAAAGTGTTCAATTCCTGGATACTGCGTTCAATCATCAAGTTCTGAGCTGGATCCATCAGGCGGACGGATCCTCGGGAGCTGGAGGACACAGCTGCTGCATCTGGCCCACTACCTGCCATAGAACATGTTCTAACTGATTCAGTCGTTGGCTCACTTGCTCGTCGATGATCTGGCTTCCCCGAAGAAATATTGTGTCCCAAGGTTCCTCCTCTTCCTCTTCCAAGTCGATCGTCATGGGACGTTCGGAAGACTTCCCATGTCCCCCTCCACTCTTGGCCTTGGCTTTGGGTTTGCTGGCCAAGGGAGCTGGAACGGTCTTCTCTTGGCGTTCCATCCAATTCTGTTCCAGTTCTTGACGTTCTGTCCACAACTCCAGGAATCGAAGGAATTCTTGGTGCTCCAGCTTCTGACTGTTGCCGTATTGGCGAAGAAACCAAGTGCAGTATTTCGGATCTTCTTTCACCACTGTCAGAAAACTTTGACCGGTCTTGGCAGATCCAAACCTGATGGGCATCTCCCTGAGTTGGTCGTAGCTGAGCTTCTGCAGGTCCTTTTCCTGGGTCTCCTTGGACTGGGAGATATGCATGGCTGCAAAACGTTCGGCAAGGCTGGACATGGCCATTAGAAACGCTAGCAGTCACGGGACAGGTCTTGGCAGTCTCGGAGGGCTTTTGAGATTTCTGCTTCGGGTCATGGGTACATGGCATGGTGACATGGTTAGGCTCTGATGAATCACTTGTACCATCGGCTGCACTCCCCTTGTGGGAATCTGTCACTGCATTTTGGGTTTCTGTTTCATGTTTCTCAGGCAAATTTTGGGAACATGTCACGGCTGGATCTGGACACTCATTTGGTTGGTCAACACATGTACAAACATTCTCAGCTCGAGGACCCTTGGGTTTTACTGCCACACTCGGTTGAGGCGGTCTCTGTGCCACAAGTTCGGAAAATTCGAGCAAGAAAAGTTTCTTTCCGGACAACGTCAATGGCAGGGTGCAGTTGAGCTCTCGAAAAAAGATGGTTTGATTGGTGGTGTCGATCACCGCACCAAGACTTCTACAAACATTGTTGGAAATCAGGAAAGGTGTTCTTGATTCTACCACAGCGATCTTGATCCAAAATCTGTCAACTGGGACCATGAGAGCTCGATGACATGGTACCACACCGTTATTGCCAAAACGGAAAGTCATTTCGACGGCCTGCTCATAGACCTGCTTGCTCACACTAGGTGGTAGTGACTTCAAAAACTCAGGCACTTGATAACTACCCATAACAGTTTGTGAAGCCCCAAGGTCTAATATCCCCAGATTATGACTTGTAGCAAACATGACATCGTGTGCTAACGACTTGGTTGGACAACATGTGATGCTCTGAGGCTCCGTGACTTCAGTCTTCTCACAAGCAGCAGGTCCTACGAAAGTCTTAGGCAGGAGATTCTCTTTTGGAATCGTCTTTTCAGGCGAGGGGTTTGCATGCGATCTCTCAGGCATCGGAATCCTGCCGGTTGGTGGCACGGGCAGGTTGCGACACACAATTCGCAAACGTTCTTTCACCTTAGAAAAAAACTCCCCCTTTTTCCTAACCGATCCACTACCCCAACAAACCATTATGTTTTGGGAGTGTGACAGACTAGGCATGGAATCATGGTCCTGGGCACTCGGATGCACATCGGATGCTTGAAGGCTATCATGGGTCATCACAAACACATCGGACTCGTCATTCGGCATCTCGGTCACTGACATGAGCACATTGGTTGGCTGAGCTTTGCTGGCTGCGGATGCATTGGAGTTGATTTGTCCACGTTTTGGACATTCTGATTTCCAATGGCCTCGCTGGCCGCAGAGGCGACAATCCGACTCAGCTATGCGAACGGCCAAAGGCTTTCGGCCTCGAGCAAAAGGAAATTTGCCTTTCCCCTTTTTGCCAGCGCCCTTTGGGCGAATCGGCCAGAAACCTCTGCTGCGCGACTTTTCTGTCAATCTTCTCCGGGCATCAAGGTATGCTGACATGTATGTGGCCATCTCACCATCATTTTGTACCGCTTCTATGAGAGCATCTTCAAACTGCTGAACTACTAAGGCATCCTCATCTCCTTCAGACAGCAGATGATCAATCACTGCATCGGGCAAATCACTCCCTTCAGCGGAAAAAGTGAAAAATCCATCATCATTCCCATAGGTATCATCCTCGGATTCCTGAACATGATTGATTTCGTACGTTTTGCTACGATGTTGTTTGGCTTGACCTTGCACCTCTTGAAAAAACTTGGCACCAAGCATTCTAATGGCTGAGGTGACGGTCTCATACTGTAACTCACCTTTCGATTCTACCAGGACTCTCTTTTTGTCTTCTGCACTCAGGGCTGAGTTGCGCAACAAAATGTATGCACGAACATCTTTGAAGCTGATGCCTTGAGTCACCAAATCCTCGAAAAGAATGTCATGGCGAGCACATAAGACTCGTTGCTCTCATCCTGTCTCTGCGAGAGTCCAAAAATGGCCTTCTCAAACTTCTCAAAGCGATTTTCCAGCGTAGTCTTTCCCCAAACTCCACCGAGCGTGGTGACAAGGAGTTTTACTCCCTCAACAGATGGAACCTTGAGCTTTTCCGGGGCGATTCGAACAACCTTTTGGAAGGCTGACCCCTTGCATTGGAGCGCCGCACGTGGCGCAAGTTGGCTAAGTTGTTCTTGGGGCCAAATGCCCGCAAGAAACTCCAGTCGCCGGCTGTACTCTGTCAGATCAGTCTCACCTGGGTCAAAACTTGGAATGAGGTGCCACGGCAAGTGGCTGCTTGGATTGCTGCTGGATCCCTGTCCAGCTTCGGCAGTTCCCCCTTCAGACATGGTCACATCTATAGGAAAAACAAAAATACCACCACTTGTTTGCCCTGGATCTCTCCTTTCCGGGATTGAACACAGGCACTGATGAAAAACAGAATGTAGCACTGGTTCACGAAGTTGCCAAATGAAAATTGGACCACTTTGTAGAGAAAAATTCCCACGTGCAGTCAGAAAAATTGTTGGACCTCCGGATCCACTGACGAAATCCCAAGGAGCTCGTAGCTCCGCTACCAATGTGGATTGACCACAAAGGTAGGGAACTGAAAGGATCCAACAGAATTCCAATGTCAGAAGTTGTTCTGAAGTAGTTGACTACCCTGATCACAGTGATATAGAAAGGTCCCCTGAACCAACAACCAATAGGATTCTTCCAATAATGGCCACGCCTATGGCTCGAACACCAATCCGCCCCAAGCGCCGCAAGTGGTTTTTTCCTGGACCACACCTGCTGCAGCAAACCCCTCGCTTGGGCCTTTAAAGTGGCCACCGGAACAGGGTTGCAAACCCACTGGATTGAATGTCGGACATGAGGCATGTAGACAAGACCCCCTTGGCAGCTGGCATATGGATATGCAGGAAATTGGAAATTCACAGTATGTATATATATATACATATGTATAGTGTGTATATATATATACACATATTATTATGTACATATACGATGTAATATGGTGTAATTATTTATATATGATACTTGATAATTGGAGGATTCAAAGTGATATAGCTATAACATGCTATAACTATAACATACTAACATACTATAACCATGATTGTTAAGCCAATAAAACAATTCACCAATTAGGATGCACATGAGGGCACCACTAATGCAACTCCTCCGGGTTTTATACGGCGCCAAGTTCTTCAACCCCAAACTTCGATTAAGAAAATCTTCAGTTGCTATGAAAATGTTGGGTATATTTGATATAGATTGATGTAAATCTGTGTAAATCTTCAGTGAAACTATGAACATCTTGGATATTCACCTTTCAGAATATTCATAGTATTCACCTATCAGAATTTCACCGTGACCATCTTTTTGTTGGTGCCCTTTTTTTGATACTTCAATGATCCCGAACGAACGAAAGTAACCGTCCAGCGGCCCACGTTCAAGACCTGGTCCAAGTCGTGAGCGCCATACCTGGGAGGATTTCAATGGGTAAATCAAGGTATGAAATATGGGACTTAGCCTCCGGTTTTCAGGAACAGTTTGCTATCGAAAATCATCCATGTTTAAGAGGTAAAATCAACTAACTATATAAAATATTATGAAATATGATGAAATGGCCATTTTCAATAGCTATGTTAGTTTACCAGAGGGTTTTTCATGGTGATTTCTCATGGGGATGTAATGGGATGTCTGACGGAAATTGATCATGGGAATTTTCGGGCCCCCGAAAAAACGATGGTGAATTATACCTCCATTTATAAATGGAACTGCACTTCCAAGTATTGCTGCGACTAGTCATTATTTTTTCCCATCAGTTTTAGTCGTTCGGACTTTTTCTCGCATCAAAATATGTCTCACTCGGCGCACTTTGGGGATCTGCGACCTCATCCCCAAAGCTCTGGACGCCCTTCCGGCAGCTTCGGCATTCTCCTTCTCTGCGTCTTCGCTTGGGCAGTGAGGTTGGGAGGATCGTAGGCCTGGGGATCGATAGCTCCAGGGATTCGCCACAATTCAGCCTTAGCCCTGGGTGCTTCACGCTCGTTCATGCCTACCTCCTCTGCAGCCTTGACCAACTTTGTCTGCTCTCTCATCTGCCAAAAGAGCTTGTCGCCCATCTCAAACATGCCAGCATTCTCACAAGCTCGGATGGCAGGCATAAAGTTCTCCTCGTTGGGAATGATGCTGTAATCCCAGAGCATGTCTAAGAGGTTGACCGCCTTCTGCCACTTCGCGCCCTGCTCGCAGGCCATGAGGGCATGCTCCGCACCAATTCTCAAAGGTGCCATACCTATTGACATCATCTCGTCCAAAGTTTCCACTGCCTTCTGCCACCATCCACGCGAGTTGTAGGCCACAATGGCAGCAGTGTATGTAGCAGGCGTCTCTTCCATTCCTCTGGCGCGCATTTCTTGCCACAAATCAAGGGCTTCTGTCGGACACTTGGCAAATGTCAGCTTCTTCATGGCGGCCACATATTCCCAGGTCGTGGTGAACCACTTTCGCTCTCTCATGAGCTGAATTGACCATCTGGCTTTGCTGGTTTTGCAATCCGGGTCCCGGATGTTCGCGATCAAAGCTTGCTTGCTCCGCACGCCATGGCGGATTTTGCGATAGCCCCATCCCATTGGCTTGTTGGGCCATGCAAAGGCATCGAAGCCTGCGAAGCTCAAAGCTGCTGCACCCGCAATGGCAAATTGGGCGATCCGCCGCATGGCTGGGAAAAACGGCCGAGGAATTTCGGCTAGATGGATATATGTAATATGAAGATTGCAATCTGATGTGTCCCAAAAAGAGCTGGTTATGGTAGCTGGTTATTGCAACCTGATACAATCTACTAACTTCCCCAAGGTTATGCCTGAAATTGTTTGAAACAAAAGGCATGAGAAAGCGGCTGTTTTCCAATCGATTGGGAACCCATGGGATCAGTTGATGATTGGTTAGATCGCGAAGAACATGATAACTCTGTGCCTTTCCAAATGTGTAGAACATGAAATCACATGAGAATCTTTGGAGCCAGCGACTGGAAAGGCAACCCAAATCAGAGCTGTATGGATAAGTTTCATAAAAGACCACACGTCAAGTCATTGTTTTTGGGATCTTGTATGCAGCGATCTCCCTGCAAAACTGCAGTGTCTGGTGCCAGCTTCAATCAATACAGGCCATCCAAACCTGCCAAGTACATGTATCTATACGCAGTATGTCTAAGTTGAGAAACAGTGCAAAAATGCCTTAAATGGAGGTGTCTGGGCACCCTCATTTGAAAATGACTAAAATCCAGAGTTCAAGTTCTAAACTATAGAGTTTAGTGTTTGTATATTTCTTTGTACAGTTCACTTCTCTCTAGAGTTCAGTGCCTTGGACTTACAATGGCTACTCTCGGGAGTTTAGGTTTGGACAAAGGTGTGCACTTATAGGCATGTATTTTCTGTGGAGGAAATTGCAGACTTGTGATATGCTTTCACAATGTCTTTTTTCTGAAGAAAAGATTTCTTCTCCTCTAATGCATTCTCACCAAGCTCCAGAGTTTAGTGTTCTCATTGGGTACTGCAGTGTCCATTCTCTCCGGAGTATAGGCTTCCATTCTCTCTATCTAGCTATCTAGCTATGTATTTATCTGTCTAAGACTCTTTGCAGGAAGTTGGGAATGGTGAGACCCCAGCAGGAGTTCTTTAATGAAAGTTATCTATCTATCTATCTATCTATCTATCGATCTAGCTATCTATCTATCTATCTATCAAACTATCTATCTGTCTAAGACTCTTCACAGGGAGTTGGGAAAGGTGAGACCCCGGCAGGAGTTCTTGAATGTAAGTTATCAATCTATCAATCTATCTATCTATCTATCTATCGATCTAGCTATCTATCTATCTATCAAACTATCTATCTGTCTAAGACTCTTCACAGGGAGTTGGGAATGGTGAGACCCCGGCAGGAGTTCTTGAATGTAAGTTATCTATCTATCAATCTATCTATCTATCTATCTAGCTATCTATCTAACTATCTATCTGTCTAAGACTCTTTACAGGGAGTTGGGAATGGTGAGACCCCGGCAGGAGTTCTTGAATGTCAGTTATCTATCTATCTATCTATCTAGCTAGCTAGCTAGCTATCTGTCTATCTGTCTATCTGTCTGTCTGTCTGTCTGTCTGTCTATCTAGCTCTCTAGCTATCTAGCTATCTAGCTATCTAGCTATGTATCTATCTGTCTAAGACTCTTTGCAGGGGATTCATCTGTTTGGACTTAACAGCAGCAAGGCTATGGTTCAAAACTGTTGAGCATTTGTTGGGGATGATTTCATCCATTCTAGGTAGCTGTGGGTCTGGTAAGTTTTGAATCGTAGCCGCATGAAGAACTACTATCCGTAGGCTTTCGTCAGGGTACATAGTGACCGATGTTTGGAGATCGTTGTGTGTGGTTTCTGGAAAGAAATTAGATTTTGCTTAGCCACTCACTGGCTTTTTTGCACCTGGTGCCGTTTGGGCACAGTCCATGGAGACAAAAATCTGCAGTTTAGTGCTGTGCAAGCGTTGTTGGAGCGAGGGGATTGACTTTGAAGTTTAGACATGGAAGCTTGATGTGCACATTCTGACACTCATAAACTCAGGAGTAAAGACGACGTATTTCAGTTGGAAATCAGCTCCATTAACTCCAGAGTTTAGTGTTTTGTACTCGAGAAAAAAGTGTCTTCCCCCTCATTTGTGACCCTTGGATCACCTTCCTACTATACTGTGGGACGTTATAGCTCAACGATATTTATAGATATTTGTAGTAACACCCCAAAAGATAGAAAAGTAAAATACTACTATATATATATATAATAATGGTGACAATTTATGACTTATGACAATTTTGTGTTTCTAAAATCATTTTGGGACCAGTGTGTTACATATTGTTACATCTCCCCAAGTTTTGATCGCTTCAGACCTCCTTTTGAATCGACGGGGTCAGCTTCGAAGGTTGGGAATTTTCACGTCTCATCCCCATGGAATTCTCCCAATCTCATTCGAAACCATCGTTCCTAAAATCCATCATGAAATCCGAAAAAACCATCCCCAAGCATGTTTACGTCTGCCGGGAAATTGGGTTAATTTGGGTTGCAATGCATACCCTCAATATGGAGATATCTGGAAATGTTCTAAACCACTGGAGTTTGGAGAATATGACAACCTACCATCAAGCATCATCCAAAATCCAACCATCCATCCCCCACGTGTTCCAACATTTCAGAAGGCTTTTCCCAAACGAATTGCTCAGACTTTAATGCCTCTTTAAAACATATCCCATCAAAAAAAACATATCCTTTCCCTAACTCAGGAAATCTTCCAGTTCATCTTCCAGTTCCAACAAAAAACCAACCCAAAAATCCCTCCAATCCATCTCCATCAAAGTCCCAAGGAACGCTTCCAGCTTCATCCAATGCAACAGCGCCTGCGCCTTCAGGTCTCCTCCTTCCGCTACGGCCTCGGCCATGCTGCTCCGCAGCTCCTTCCAGGCTTCCGGGGCGTCCTAGGGCGCCAACGATTTTTTTTGAACAGATGGACTGGCGGGTTTTTGAAAAATTACCCATTCTTAAAGATACAAAGTGGACATAGAAAACACATATGGACTTAAAATTGACTTAAATATAGAGAACATATGGACATTCTGGGAAGATGTTTAAAGAAAATCCAGGTTCTATCTACTTCAGTATGACAATCGATTTTTTTGAACAAACGGGATAGTTACAGTAGTCCAAAAATGACATCTGATGCGCCATGGAATGCGGCCAGAACTGAAACATTTTGGAGACGCTGACGCATGTCTCCCATGGTGTAGAACCTTCCCTGCTGTTTTGCCGGAAGTGGAGTTGAAGTAGTAAAAACATGTAGAAACGTGACGTTGAAATGCAGGCATAACATGGTACAACCATTTCAGTAGACCTTGAATTGAAATCTTCATTGGAACCAGATCCAAATGGGCCATCACTGCCCCCTGCTTTGCCAAGCTTCGGCCGGCATTGAACCGCGACTGCCATCGGCATAGCGGCGACAGGCGTCGGCATGTTGCAGTAGCAGCTCATGCTTCGAATCAGTAGGCGTGGCTGCAGTTTCACTGTCCTGGGGATCACAGGGTTCTGAAACAAAGCCGTGGCTGCATCAGGGATATCACTTAAAACACATGCGGGAAAAAACATATAAATTATATTCAATTATACATGTTATAATTCGGCAACTAGGGATCCAACATGTTATGGGTTCAATCCGCAATTTGGCTGGCTACAACCCAACGTCTATTGCTTATATAAATCCACCATCATCCTGAGCAAACACACACACACCGTCTGCAACAAGATTCATCGAATGCAAAAGTAAAGGAAAATAAGATATGAAAAAAAAGGAAAATAGTTAATCATCATGACTCATACATCATACATTAGATGGCATATGTATATCATCATCATCATCATCATCAAGTAGTATATATTCCCATATCTTCCAAATTTCCCGGAGTAGAAAAACCTCCGTTTCAGCTCCGGATGCTCCCCCCGACGTCACGTCCTCTGTGCCCGCAGGCGTGGCCGCCATTGCCCGCAGCGCGCGGCGCTTCACCTCCCGCAGCGTCGCCGGCGGCGCCTCCGCCGCTTCATAGGCCTCGTGGAGTTGGAACCAGAGCCTCGGCAGGGAGTTGTTCCGCGGAAGGGGGGATTTTTTATGGGGATCCAACATAGTGCTTGGGACTATCATTAATCTATAGGTTGGGAATATCATATCCAAAGAATAAGTTGAGAAATGTTGGGAAGATGATGAGATATTTCACCAACCATTTTCATTTTGGTTTTACCAAGGAATATAGTGGTTTTTCATGGAGATATGATTGGTGATATTCTAAGGGGATTAGTCACCAACCATGGGGACAGAATGCTGGTCGTCAAACATGGCAATACCATTCGAACACCATGCGGAGCTCCATTTAGTGATGGGGATCTATATTATAAGTTATGCATCAAATAGGAAGTTAACCAAGATCACTCTATAATGGTATATAATACAATGGTGGTATATATATCACCTATATATCAAAAAAGGGGTTGAATAAAATAGTAATAATCCAACATGGCCAATAGAATCAATAGAAAATCCACCATTTATACATGATGTTCCCATTCAGACCCCCATTTATAGGGAATTTCATGGGGATATATAATATATATATATTAATATATCACAGGGTGCACAACCCCCCCCCGGCAAAACCCCCCCGGAAGCGCTATAGATGCTTAATAAGGAAGTTTGTTTTTTTGGGCCTAAGATACAGGTTTTCCTTAATAAGACCTTATTTGGTGTGAAGGCAATGATGGCGTCAAAAAAGGTGTTTGAGAACCTGTTTTGCTAATAAGGCCTTCATAAGAAAAACATGTTTCAAGAGGTTGATTTGTTAATTTTGAGAATTTAAAAAAAAAACAAAAAAACAATCCAAACATATCCAAACCTAAATTTGAAAAAAGGAAAAATAAACCAAAAAAAACAATCCAAACCTAAATTAAAACAAAAACAAAAAATGCAAGAAAAACCCCCCAAACCAAATAACCCCACCCAACGGACCACCACCGACACGCAAGTACCAACCTACAAAGAGACTACACCCAAAAAGACCACACCCAACCATGAACCAAAAACAAAAACAAAAAATGCAAGAAAAACCACAAAAACAAAAAAAACAAAACGCACAAAAAAAAAACAACACAAAAAAAAAAAAACACCAACAAAAAAACATGTTTTTGCGTTTTTTCAGATTCAGGTTTGGATTGGGTTTTGTTTTTGTGTTTTTTGTGTGTGTGTGTTTCTTTTTTGCATGTTTTTTGTGATTTTTTTGGTAATTTAGGTTTGGATTTGGGTTTTGATTTTTTCTTGTTGTTTTTTTTGAGTTTTTTTTTGTGCGTTTTCTTTGTGTGTTTTTTTTTGGTGTTTTTTTTTGTGTTGTTTTTTCGTTTTTTGTGTTTGTTTTGTGTTTTTTGTGTTTATTTTTGTTTTTTTATATATTGTTTTGTTTTTTTGTTTTGTTTTTTCTTTTGCTTATTTAATTTAGGTTTGGATTGTTCTTTTTATTTTATTTTTTTGTGTTTTGTTTTTGTTTTTCGTAATTTGGGTTTGAACTGGGTTTTGTTTTTTTTTGTTGTTGCTTCTGTTTTTTGTTTTTCTAATTTAGATCAGAGTTCCTTAATAAACTGTTATTAAGGTTGCGTGATATATTGGTGCTAAAATTGGTTTCGGAATGCGTTATTCTTATTAAAGGTTTAATACCGTTTTTTGTCTTGTTGGTTGGACACAGTCCCCAAAACAATGTTTTTCTTAATAAGGCTCTAAAAGTGAAATTTCAGTTTCATTGATAAAAACCATCTCTTATCAAGACCTTATCCGGCCCTTAACTACACATCGCCAATAAGCGTTTCAGTTATTAAGATTGTGTTACACCACTGATTGGCCCTTATCCATCGTTTCATCCTTATCCATACCTTACCATACTTCTGGGGGGTGTTTTGCTGGGGGGGGGTCGGGGCCCCTGAGAATATAACTATATAAACTATGTCAGAATAATGTAGGTTAACCAAGGTCAAGAAGGGTATATAATAGAATGATGATATATCACTTGTATATCAAAATAAGGTTTTAATACAAAAATAATCAACCATGGAAATGGAAATTCCACCATGTCTAGGTGATTTTCCCATTCATACATCCATTTAGTTCGGGGATATAATGGGGTTGGTTACCAAAAATCAAGAATGGTATATAATACAATGGTGGTATATCACGTGTATATCAAAATAGGGTGGTATAACATGGTTTAACCAATGAATATAGGTTCAACCAGTGGGTTTCGGGGTTCAAGGAGTGAATATAATGGTGTGATAGAGGTATAATTGGTGATATGTTGATCGGGGACTATCCCAACCATGAAAATAAAATGGTGATACTGTGGTGATATCATGGGAGATATACATATAAATATTGGTCTATAATTTGTTTTTAAGAACCGAAAAGAGGATATCATGGAGACAATATTACCTTAAACAAGTAATCATAAATTTGATATAAATGAGCAGTGTTCAAATTCCCTCTGTCATTCCATGCGGATTCCCCACTGTATTAAATCAGCCCCAATGTATATTGGGTAGTATAATCTCCGAAACTATTCATGATTCATCAACCATAGTGTATTTAATCATCCCCCAATATTGGGTAGTACAATCATTATGGTATGGTGAATAATATATTGATCAAATGCTAGGAAATCATCACCACTTGTAATGATAGGGGATCATCCCCCAATTAATATTGGGCAATACAATCACTATGATTTTCAATATATTGGGTAGTACAATCGACACTACTGGTAGTGTTCCATCTTTGACACGACGCATGTGGGTTTGGCGACACCACAGTCAAACACCCCAAGCGCAGGTGGCGGGTGTGAGTGACATATCCACAGCAACAAATTGAAATGAATTAAATCGAATTACTCCTCCGTCAAATTCGCTTGAGTCTTCCTCAATTGTTTCATAATGGCAGCATAATTGTTGTAGCGCTGTGATGTTGGTGGTTCCATCTTTGACCATAAATATCTTATAATTCACCATTTTTATAGGTGGTATGTTTACCATTCCCAGTCACTCAGTCATAGGTGGTTTACCCACATTCTTCATCAACCACCACGGCGCCAAATGCTCCCAGGTAGCTGGTGACAGCTTAGCTGGTGACAGCTTGGCAGGTGATGCACCGCTCTCTCCAAGACCTCCACCGCTTGACCGGGCTCCACGAAGTGGCCGAAGCGCTGCCAGACGCCTGGGTCCTGGGGATAGGAAGATCTGGGTAGAAATATTTGTGCCTTCCGTGTATATGCACCGCCCCCCCGCTTCATACATTTCCATCAATTGTATGAGGGGCAGGTGGCCAAGGTCGGCGACGGAAAGAGGTGTCAAGAAGGTTTATACATGATTATTCTCGATTGAGTGAGACATGGGGGGGACCTGCTTTGCACCAGCACAAAACAATACTATTTGGCTAACCCCAAAATATTAGGAGGACCCTCCACCTCTCTCAATTTTACCCCAAAAAAAAATCGTTCAATAAATACCCGTGCCTCCCCCCCTCAATATACATTTTAGGGTGGGGGACAATAGAAACCCCTTATGAAAAAAATGGTAGTTGAAGCATGAAGACATGGTGATTTCATGGGATTTCCTGAGATTTCACCCACAATGGCGATACTCTTCGGTGTCATCAAACCGTGGCGGGCAATGGGACTCCCCGCGATGGAGGTTTTTAGATTAAAACGCAGGGATAGAATGAAGATATGGAATGGGATAGATACAATGTAAATATATATATATGTATATACATATATATATATATGTCATGTATTTAATGTACTATTAGGGGACATGGCGCAGAAGCTCTTTTGAATCAGTGAAAAGGGTTCACTTTCCGGGGCCGCAAGAAGCCATGCTAACCTCTTGCGCTCTGGCA